CAGGGGGTTGTGGAGTCCCCTTCTCTGGAGACATTCCAAACCCCCCTGGATGCAGCCCTGTGGGATGTGCTCCAGGGGATCCTGTTTTAGCAGGGGCTGCACTAGATGATCTCTTAGAGGTCCCTTCCAACTCTGACAGTTCTGTGATCTCTCCCACCTCTCCCTGCTGCTGGTGCCTGTGACAACTCCTCCTCCTCCAGTTGTCTCCTCGGGGTTTCAGCCAGTGTGGACACAGACTGTGGACTCTGCTGCTTTCTACTAGAGAACTTTGTAGAGTAGGGATGATGGTTGGACTCAGTGATCCCAAGGGTCTTTTCCAACCTGAATGGTTCTATGAGTCTAACATTGCTGCTCAGAACCCCCCAAGTCTGTCATGAGACATGACTTGTATTTTATCATTAGTACCTTACAAATGGTTTATTGTATGTAATATAAATCAAATAAAACCCAAGGACATGCTGTATCAAAAATAGAAAAAAATATTTTTATGTTCCAAATACATAAATATGTTTAGAATTCTGGCTTCTTTTGAAACGGTGTGTCCATTTTCTTGCAGACTCAGCACTGCCAGAAGAGACAAAAGTCAGAAGATGATGAGAAAGCAAATACACAAAAGATGACAATTTAGGGTCCATGACTCACCCCAAGAGTCCCAGACACTGAACATAAGAGCAGTCCAGTTTGGAAAAGAGACTGATCATGGAAGTGAGGTTAGATCAGGTTGTAAGAAGTGCTGAAGAGATCCAGTGCTCACAGTGATACTGCTTAAAAACCTCTCTGCTGGGGACAGACTCCAGGTTACAAGGTCCTCAGGAAGTGGAGCTGATGGCACCTCTAACACATCTAGACCTGGATGTTCAAATCTAAAGGCCTTTCACATGACATCTGGTGTCAGAGGGCACTTTTGGGAGCCATCACAGGGACCACCTCTGCTGTTTTACAGCCACTTAAGGAATATGGATTGAGGAGTTTTTACCAGAGATGGCAAATTGGACCAAGGGCAGAAGAAAGGCATTGTGTTTCCACAAAGCTCCTGCCTTACCAACCAGCAGGGCAATGATAGGCTGAAGAAATTAAGATGGAAGTCACTGGGGTTGAAACACTGAGTGCTTCACAGGGGGGAAAAGTGGCTGGTTTCTTGCAGGTGCGTTATTCTGCTGAACACTGGAACTTGAAGAGTGAAGCATTTCATAGCCCAGGGCCAGGGAAGAGCTCCTGGAAGTGTCACTGAGGGAAGCATCTGCCTCTAGAAGCACCAACACGAAGAAAAGTTGGGGACCTAAAGCCTATCAGAAAAATGGAAAGAAAAGGCACAGGAGGAAAATCGAGGGGGAAAAAGAGGCTGCTGAAGGCAGGAGAGCAGCTGCAGGGGGAGCCATTCGGAGCAGAGGGCTGGGAACTGGAGCTCAGTGCAGCCACTCTCCAACCTGTCATCTGGAGAGCAGGCCACAAGGAGGAGCAGTGCACCCACCCATCCCAGCACCAGCCTGCAATGGGGCTCCAGCTTATCAGGGAAGGCCTCCACGTACAACATTTTCAGGCTGGAGGAGCAGGCTCTCCCTTCAGTATCGTCTCCTCTGTTTTTTGGTCCCCTTTCTTTTCAGTTCCTGCTCTTTCCGAGCTTTGGCTGTGGTAAACGTGATGCAGTGAGCATCCAAAAAGTCCAGCAGCTTTGCCTTGGAAATTTTAATGCCATTCTGTTTCAGTTCAGTGTGCAGCTCTGCCAACTCGATGGGCTCATAGAAGAGCACCTTGTGGTACAGGGCTGTGTTGGAACGGATGTAGCACCTTATTGCCTCCAGCTTTGCCTCCTCCCGAGCTGCTGCCTGAGATGCTGGAAGTTCCTCTTCCTCCTCTTCAGAGGCAAAAGCACAGGCTTCAAATCCATTCAATAAAGAGCTAAAAGCAAGATCAAGTAGGCCAGAGATCAAGGAAAGAAAGGCAGTCAAGGCCAGGAGCAGAGCTCCCAAATCCCTCCTGGCCACCCCCTGTGACCACCCTCTGTAGGACCACAGACTGCCCAGCACCAGCACCCACAAAAGGAGGGAAGCAAACGTGGCCTGGGTTGTGCAAACTGCCCCATCCCATCCCCACACAGCTGGTCCTGCTCCCCCAGGCCAGGAGCTGTCTGGCTTTCCTTGCACCCACAGCTGCCAGGCTGGGCAGGCTCCCCAGCTCCAGCTACAGGCTCCCAGTGCTCCTCCTTGCTCTGACATGCAGAGACCAGGCATGCCAGGTCTGGGCCTTACCCACAGGCAGCTACAAGCACTTTAGTGCTCTGAGAAGAGCTCACTGGGAATTAGACTCAAATCCCAAAGCCTGTTTCTTTTGTAGGAGTGTGTTGGCCTTCAAATGACACACCCAAGGAGGTGGCAGGTCCACTGCAGGGACACTCACCTCTGTTGGCCATTTCCTGAGCTCACCTCTGTCCTGCACCACTGACTGTTGATTATTTTGTTCCCTCACCTCTGTGAACCAAAAGAGATGTCACTTCCATCCACTGAAGACACTGCAGACTCCTGAGAAGCTGAGAGCTTTGGTTCCTCACCATCAGCTGCCATAGACCATCTCTCTGGAGATACAGATGATCTTTTCTGCTCTTCAGCTCCTTCTGGGTGATGTGTTACTTTAGCTCCTCCCTTGGATGCTGCAGAGCATGTTTCATGGGATCCAACGAGGTCACCAACAGCCCTCCCCCCTGAAGAAGCTGTAGCAACCTGCCTCCTTTTGCCCCCAGCCCTGGAGGCCTTGGCACCCTTCCCACCTGCAGCCCTCCCTGCCTTGGGCTGCCCAGCACGTTTGGCTGGGGACTTCTGCAAGGGAGGCTGGGAAGATGGGATTTCATCCTCAAAGTCAGAGTCCATGTCCTGGTGAGTATACTGGAATATCTCCTTCAGCTTCAACACCATCTGGCGTTTGGGGAGAGCACGAACTCCAAATCTGGAAGAGAAAGGTGGGAGCTCAGATAATGCTGCAACTTCCATTATCACAGCTCAGGAAGGGGCTGAGCCCAGAAGTCCAGTGTTCAGCAGAAACAGTGTGACATGATCTCAAAAACCACCCACTGGACCTTCACCCAGGTTCTCCTGGCAGCCCAGGAGCTTGCTTTCACACTACCTGCTGACAAGGTGCTGCTCACAGAGAAGGAGATCATGCTAACCTGCTCAACTCCTTCTTCAGCTGTGGGGTCTCCATGAGGGAATAATGTGGCATTGGTGTCATGGGAGTGCTGGGAGGCTTGTCCTTCTCCTGACAGGAAGCTTCTGCAGCAGGATGAAATCACCATGATCAGAATTAGTACAGAAAAGACTTCACAGACCTGATCTCTTCCTCCTTTATATCATATAATAATTGTTTAAAGTACCTCTCTCCAAGCTCTTTTACTTATTGCTCAGCTTCATATTGGACTGAACATCAACCCTTCTTTTTTTCTAAACTGAGATACTTGGGGTTTATTGACTTTAAATCAGAAAAGAGCTTAAATTAAGACATATGTTACATCTGAATATGAAGCCCCTTCAGGGTTTTGTTAGAACAGGCAAGATTTGAAAGGCAGTTAAAAAAACCCATGTTTACTGAATTCTGTAAAGTGGTTCTTCTCCCAGGAAGGTAATTTCATAATAGGGACCTGATGTAGAAGAAACCAAGTCAAGCTTCTGAGGTCCTGAGTTAGATTCTGATTTAATGATACCAATTTGCTGACACTAGGAAGCACAGTCAGTCTCACACATCATGTTCTAAACATCAGTTCAACTCCTCACTTAGTTTGGCATCATTATATATTTAATTAGATACTGTGAGATCAATTACTGGTCTAGTTAGCCTGGAGAAGAGGGGACTGAGGGGGGATCTCATCAACACTTATAAATATCTAGAGGGTGTCAAGAGGATGGGACCAGCCTCTTCTCAGCACTGTCCAAAGCCAGGACAAGGGGCAATGGGGACAAGCTGGAGCACAGGAGGGGCAAGTTAAACATGAGGAAAAATTTATTTCCTGTGAGGGTGACAGAGCCCTGGGACAGGCTGCCCAGAGAGGCTGTGGAGCCTCCTTCTCTGGAGACATTGCAACTCCATCTGGATGTGTTCCTGGGGGATCTGCTGTAGGTGACCCTGCTCTGGCAGGGGCTGGACTAGATGATCTTCAGAGGTCCCTTCCAACCCTGACAACTGTATGAATATGACTATATGAATATATGAGGACCATCACTATCAAAAGAACCAGTGTGGATGAACCACAAGTGGCTATGCTCCAGGAATCCCACACCTGGATGTGCTCTCTCCAACAGCAGCAGATCACTGCACCCCCTTTGTGCCTGGCCCTGACAACAACTTCAGATCAGAAGGCCAAAAGACCCTCTCAATGTAGCAAGTGACCAACAGGTGAGAAGACCAGTTACCTGAAAACAACTTCACCTAGTTCAGTGACTCTGGTATCAATAAAGTGCTCACCAGGAGTCTTTACAGGATCAGTCTGGCAGGCACCCACTGCAGCTGGCAATCTCTGAGACAGAGGAAGCACCTCTGGAAATTCATCTTCCACTTCCTCTCCGTTCCAGTCATCCCAGATTTTGGAGTTCAGGTAACTTGGTCTACTGCTCACTGATGAACATGCCTCAACAGGACTCTTTTCCAGACAGAGCAACCTTGTTCTTCTTCTGCCCAGAGGACTCCCTCGAAGAGGGGTGCTGCCCTTCATCTCCTGCAGGTGGGCTGGGCTCTCCCACTGCTCATGCCAAGAGCCTGGTTTGGGGGTGCTGGCAGTGCTGGCCTTTGCATGGCCCACCTGGGTGGAGTCCTGGCTGCCACCTCTGACTGGTGACAGACACTCAACATGCCAGCAGTCATCAATGGGGATTGGGGGGTCATCACACAGCAAGACACTGCTACTCACAGAAGGCAGACTTGTGTCTTTTTCACTGTCCTCTATCTCAACCACACTGGTATTTGTTGGATCTTCCAATGGCTGCTCATGGCACAGAGGCACAGGTTTGGATAAAAATGGGATCTTGGGACATTTGCTTTTTATTGTGTTGGTGTGGCCAGGGGAGAGAACTGGATCCACTGGAGAAACTGGTGGGGAGCTTTTGGAAAATGATCCTGCTGCTGGGCTGCTGGAAGGCCTCCTGGAAGGCCTCCTTTCACTGACTGAGGTCTCCAAAGGCAAATGTTTGTCTGACAAGTTTGTTTGACAAACTTTTACATTTCCATCCATTTCATGGTTACCATTAACTGCTGCTAAATTCTTTGTGCTGAGTTTAGATCGTGGACTCTTTAAAGAATTGATACTTGTGACCTCAGTCTGTGCTGAGAAACATCTGCTTTTGCCCAGAACTGGTGTGTCTGGCACTAGCCAGGAGCTGTCTGTGCCTGAAGACACCTCAGGACTGAGCCTTTTTTGGGGGCTCAGGTTTGGGCTGTGTTTGCTTTCCATACAAACATCTGTTTGTGGGCTCAGAGGCAATTCAGTGGACATCTTTACACCATTACTGACAGGCACTGTATCTGTGGTGCCACGTGAGACCTGGGTAGATCTGTGCTCTGTTTCAGTGACTGATGAATTAGGTTCAGGTTTTGGGATCTCAGCACCTTGTTCTATGTTTGCACATCTCAGCTGCTCAGGGGTTTCCATTTCCTTCAGAATGGAGCCTGATTCTGGTGACTTCTTGTCTTCTTGCAACTCCATTTCATCATCAGAAGATAAAACAATAACAGAACCCTCCTGGTTCCCCTGAGCTGCAGTCTCCTGAGTTCTGGTGACTGGTGATGACAACACTGGGACATACCTATGCTTGTTTAAATCAACACTGGGAAGGTCTCCTGGAGAAATTGTGTTCTCATCTCCACAATCCACCTCACTGGCTTTCTGAAGGGGTATTTCATCCAATGCCAATGATTGTTCCTTTCTGTTCTGCTTTGGTGTTGACACATGTTCTGTGAGAAACCTTCTCTCTGATTTTGGAGACGCAGGTGAAAAGCCAACATCAGGAAAAAGGGGCATGGTTGCTTTGGGAGGAATACTCCTGTAAAAAGCATTCCTATGTGGAGAGAGGTCTTTTTGTGACTTGCTGTACAGAAGTGCATCAGTAACATCTCCATGTTCTTCACAAGGAGCCTTTCCTGATTCTCTGGTATCTTCTTTCATTGGGGAAGGCTCAGAGTCATCTCCCTGAGTTGCAGAAAACAAGCAGTTGTAACTTTCATTGATATTAGCATCACCATGGGAGCTAGGGAGGTGTTTCTCACAGTGACCTGCCCCATCACGTGAAACCTGAGATGACTTGGAATCCTTCCCACCTTCACATCTCCTAACAGTCTCTCCTTCATTACCACTGGCACCATGGGATGTTGCATCCCCTTTTGGAGGGTCACTGTGGGAAGGCACAAAAGCTGTCTGTGGAGCATTCACACTTTCGCACCTATTTATAGTCTGCATTTCCTCTTGTGCAGGTGAGTCACATTTAGATCTTTCCACATCATTGTCATCCTTCAAATCTTTAAAGTTCTTGCTTACTGAAGCAGATTTAGAACTCTTTACCTCTTCTTCCTCAGTCTGCAGGTTGGGACCCTGGGCTGGCTCAGTGTCACTGCAGATGCTGCAGTCTGTTCCCTCCCTCACCTCTCTTTCACCTTGAACCATCTTCCTCTGAGTTGCAGCAAACTCATAGATTTCCTCCAGCTCCTGTTCACCCACCCCGTTATCATCTTCATTCTGGCACTCAGGGTTCAACATAGATACTTCTTCTTCATCTTCACCCACCCACACAGACTTCAAGAGGTCTTGGAAGTTCTCAGCTCTGTCCTCACAATCTTTGTCGTCCCTCACAGAGATAAGATCATCTTCTGAATCCACTCCAGAAGACACCTGACTCTCTCCAGTGTTGTTTTCACACACTGCCATCAGTTCCCTCACACCAAACCTGCAAGGACATAATATTAATAACAACAATGTTAGTATTTTCCTCTGCCCCAGTGTTGTAGAGAACCACAGTCACAGTGATGGGGGTTGGAAGGGACCTCTGGAGATCATCTAATCCAACCCCCTGCTAGACCAGGATCCCCTAGAGCAGATCCCACAGGAACATGTCCAGGTGGGTTTGGAATGTCTCCAGGGATGGAGACTCCACAGCCTCTCTGGGCAGCCTGTCCCAGGGCTCTGCCACCCTCACAGGAAAAAAGTTGTTCCTCATGTTCAGCTTGACCCTCCTGTGCTCCAGCCTGTGCCCGTTGCCCCTTGTCCTGTCACTGGGCACCACTGGGAAGAGTCTGGCCCCACCATCCTGACACCCCCTGTACATATTTCTAAGCATGGATGAGATCCCCCCTCAGCCTCCTTTTCTCCAGGCTGACCAGCTCCAGCTCTCTCAGCCTTTCCTCATATCTTCCAGTCCCTTCATCATCATAGAATCTTAGAATCATTTAGGTTGGAAACGACCTTTAAGATCAAGTCCACCATTTGGCTGCCTGATCACTCTTGTGAGCCTTGTAAAGAATCTGAATGAGGAGAACTTGCTGGTTTCCTAAGATGTACAAGATCCAGATGAGGAGAGGGAAGTTGAGAGCAGGATGTTCTTACCTTCAAATTTCATCTAAGACACAAGCAGAGGCCTATGGAATTTGTGAGCCACTAAAACTGCAACGGAAGGTTTTTAGGTTTGGGTCTGTGGGGCTGAAAGCACGAGGGGATCCAAAACATGCTGAGGATACACACCTGGCAGCCAGAGCCCCCACGTGGGGCAGCAGCCCCGCGGGGATGTGGGTGTCAGCAGCGTAGAGGTAGCGCAGGAAGGGGGGGGGCCCTCGCTCAGCAGCAGCCGGCGCGTCTGCGGGTGCCCGTCCTCCTCCACCAGGAACCCCTGGCTGTGAACCTGGGGTGGGAGGAAAGCAAACACCTGATTCTCCTCCCAGGGAATCTAGAATAGCCAGGCATGCAGGGCTGCACATGGAACAGCCATTTCCTTCCTGAGCCTACAGCTGTTAGCTTGGGTAACGTTTTGACTACTCGGTGGTTTAAGTCACGCATACAAAGATGAGTCTTGGGAGTTCTCCAGTTAGTTTTGGAATCAAATGACTTCCCAGAGCACAATTTCCAGAGTCATCTACACCTCTGTACACACTTCCTCTGATCTCTTTTTATAGAATCACAGAGTCACAGACTGGTTTGGGTTGGAAAGGACCTTAAAGACCATCTAGTCCCAACCCCCTGCATGGGCAGGGACACCTCCCACCAGCCCAGGTTGCTCCAAGCCCCATCCAACCTGCCCTTCAACACTGCCAGGGATGGGGCAGCCACAGCTGCCCTGGGCAACCTGGGCCAGGCTCTCACCACCCTCACACCAAAGAATTCCCTCCTCATGTCCAATCTCAGTCTCTCCTCTTCCAGTATTAATCCATCCCCCCTTGTCCTCTCCCTCCCTGCCCTTGTCCCAAGTCCCTCCCCAGCTTTCCTGGAGCCCCTTCAGGCCCTGGAAGCTGCTCTAAGGTCTCCCTGGAGCCTTCTCTTCTCCAGCTTTGAATTTCCCTACCCTTGATTCACTGCCAAAACTCCAGTTCTCCTGGTGTCTCACAGGAAAAGAGACATCAGACAAAATACTGCTCTGCTGAACTGGACCATTATCTGTGTGGGTCCAGCCTAATCTCACGTTTTGGTGAAAATGCATCTCCAGTTCAATAAGGTCTCCCCTCCTTTGCAGCCAAATCACATATTGTGCCATTTGAAACTCTCTCCCAAGTTAGGGAATGCCATGCTACAGAAAAAACCAGCTACAAGGTTATCTCTGATGACTTAACTGTCTTCTTGTTACCCAAAATCTTCAACTAAGACGAGCATCCCTCACCTCAACAGAAAATAAACATGAAATGCTGCTCTGCAGGTGGGGACTTACTGGAAACCCTCTGCAGGAATAAAAAATAGAGCACAGGGCCAATCCCACAGTTCTGCCCACACAAATGACTCCTGCCCATGAAAACAGTGGATGGGAATGCTGAAGCCAGACCAAGTTGAAGGGAAATAATAAGAGACTATGGCTAACCCCATTGCTTTAAAATCCTTTGATTTGTGGGCACAGGCACATTTGCTGATGGTTTGAGAACTTTCTTCCCCTCCCCAAACTTTTATGGACCCCTTAGAAATGGCCTGAGTCACCTTGGGTGGAAACTACTGCCAACATGCATGAGGATAAAGCTAATTTCACTGTTTCCAGAAGGGCAGATTTAAAGAAAGCTTCCTTTGTGAGGGAGTTGGCTGTGTGACTGGCAGCAGCTCTGTGAAAGAGCAGAGTTCAAATCTTAGGCTCCCTGCCTTTCCCTGTCCTGACAGGAGGCTGCACAGGAGTAAGCTGGGAACTATGCAACACAAAATGCTTCTGGGAACATCAAAACTACTTCACTTACCTTGCAAAAAGCAGAGTTCAGTGCAGCTGAACCTCCAAATTAACTCTGAGAGTGACAAAACCAAGGTGATTTCCCAGAATCTCTTTACTCCATACCTAAGTGTCCCAGCCTGGGTGACAGGCAGGACACAGTGAGAAGGACAAGGCAGTCTGCATTTGCACAGGGACAAAAATTCAAGGGCAGAAAGGACCTGGGAAGTTCCTCTCTTGCTCATGGGCAGAAAGCAAGGAAGGATCCTTGCCTCCCCATAGTCCCCCCAGATAGAGTAACACATTTTCTACCCCATTTCCTGAGCTGAAAAGCCACTACAGATCCACAGGCACTTGCCACCAGGCTCAGAGTGCTCTGTGCTGACTCCATGTGGGCAGCCTGGGCTGTCCTGCAGCAGCAGAGGAGGGTGATCCAGCAGTACTTACAGCCTCAGCAGCCTGCGGGCACCGTGCGTACAAGACAAACATGTGGGCAAAAACGACTTCCCCAGAGTCCACCTGGAACTGCAGGTCACTTAAGTGGGGGTTGTTGACCATGGCACTGAAATCTTCAGCCAGCAACCTGAGAGAGGACTAGAACACAAAAGGAACACAGACAGAATCACTCACTGAATTACCTTGGCTGGAAAACATCTTAAAGATCATTGAGTCCAACTGTTAACCTAACCCTCCTTAACTAAACCAGATCCCTCAGTACTATGTGACTCTTAAATCCCTCCAGGGATGGTGACTCCACCACCACCCTGGGCAGCCTGTTCCAATGCCTGACAGACCTTTCAGTGAAGAAATTCTTTCTAACATCCAATCTAAACCTCCCCTGGTGCAGCTTGAGGCCATTCCCTCTTGTCCTGTCACTTGTAACTTCACTGCACAGCCTGATCCCCACCTCTTTACAGCCTCCTTGCAGGCAGTTGTAGAGAGTGAGAACATCTCCCTTCAGCCTCCTTTTCCTCCAGGCTGAACAATCCCAGCTCCCTCAGTTCCCTTCTGAAATGGCAGAAGGTCAGGTACAGGTGTCAGACATTCCCCTGAAAAATTAGGAGGGAATAACCCACTTGGTCAGCACTGCTGTGCAGTGGGTGCCTTCGCCTTCTCAAGGTCATCACCAGAGTTACAGAATCATGGAATGGTTTGGGTTGGAAGGGACCTTAAAGACCATCTAGTTCCAACCCCCCTTCATAGGCAAGGACACCTCCCACTAGACTAGGTTGCTCAGAGCCCCAGGTCAACTTAAGGTTTTCCATATAACAAATAAGCAGAGAAATCTCTCAGACATTTTTGGCTCCATTTTTCAGCCTGGCAGCTGTGAAGAAAGGGCTGTTGTGCTGTGCTCTGCTGTACTTGTTCTGCCTTGTGTTCCAGCACATTATCACCCTCAGATCTTCACCACACCATTTCCTGATGTGGTCTAGCCACTGCCTCCAGCTGGCCTCTTGATCTGCTGCCTTCCACCACATTTTTAGGAAACTGTAATTTCCACTTTGATGGACTTGAACTCAATTCACTATAATTAGAGTAAGAGGAAAGAGGATGACTCAGGGATAGGGTGATGAGCCTTTCTTCTCTCCTCCACTGTCTGGCAATGACAGCTGAGAAGAGCAACAAGGGCCCATCTAGAATCAAACTAAAGTAGGTGTCTACTTCAAAGGAATTGATGTGCATGTTGCTGAAACCCCTTTTGAACATCCCACTCCATTATAGAAGACAAACATCATTTCTATTATAATTCAAGAACCCCTAGCTGGGATTTTGGGGAGGCCTGGTTGACTGAGCTACCTGTGGCTGGTTACTGACAATGGCAAGGTCAGGCCTGGGGTGGCTGCCAAAGCCAGCAGTGATGGAACACCCTGCTCTCCAGCTGCTCTCAGTAGGAACCCACCCCAGGCAGTCTTCTAAAGGCTTAGATCCCTCTAAGTAACTGTTGTGCCTCTGGAGGTGGCCAGTGCTTCAGAGAAGCAGGAACACCTTCAGCTCCCAGCTGAGAGGCTGGCTGACTGTAACTGGAAACCAGTTTATAGTTAACACACTCATCATTGACCTTGTGCTTTTCAAACTCAAACCTACTGCAGAGTTGAGAAACTGCAAGTTTTGTTCCAGTGAACATCTGCATGAGCTGCAGTTCCACCTGGAACAACACAGCCCTCTCTTTTATGAGCAGGTTTCTACATTAGGTCAATGGACTGTGGAAACCCAACCTTTCTACTTGCTCCAGCATGTGCCTGTGAGCAGCCAACACTAATTAGCACTTTGGAACACTGTTCCCAGGCCTTCCTAGGTGGGCTCGGGAAGACTCTGCGTGTCGTGGCAGTGGTGTGGACTGGTCTCCAAGGGGAAGACAGGAAGCTTAGTCTGGAAACTAGTCTGATGTTTCTCATTTTCTTATTCTTGGCAGGTAAGATACCTGCAAGGCAGCAGCTCAGGAAGCCAGCAAACACAGGCTCCTGATGCTACGTTCCAGGCACCTCGCCCAGAACAGCTTTCCTG